GTACGAAAATATTCTTACAGGTATTTATAAATATTTGTCTACGCAAGATACTCCATATCCATTAGCCAAACACCATCAGCAATAACCTGTTGTGGCAGAGAACAAAACAGCTCCCAGCCCAAAAAGTAAATCAAAAAGGACACCAGAAATGGATAGGAAACGCTTTTCGGAAATCGTCCAAGCGTAGTACAGGGAAGTCCCAACTCGGAATCCTAAATACAAAAAGAAGAGAGTCAGACCAAAGAATACATGGCTCCAGGAACCAGAGATAGACATCGAGAGCAAGGATAGCCACTTAGCAACAACTAAGAAGGAGAACCCAGAACAAAGTAGTCTGGAGAATCCTGATCAGCAGCCCATGCTCCACAAGGGGTATTGAGTAAGAAAATTAAATTTTCTACCAATTGGAGAACTTACAAATATATTATTTTCATGACTAATTAGTAACGAAGTTTAAGCGTCAGAACCAATCTGGTTCAGAAAATTCCAAAAATTATAATAGCGTTTCAGTCTCTCCTACCATTTGATGAGTCCTCATGTGACTCAATAACTAATGTTATATCTTTTACCATTATAAGGTCTGCGTTCAGCAACAGTAAGGGGGATAGAGACCTGTAGTTAATTTGATTCCTTGTCATTGTGCTACTCCAGTAGGACGATTTACAGTGTATTTTAGTCAGTTCTATCATAAGCGACTGATCATGCACGCAGAACTATCAAAGGCGATGTAGATGATGGGTTGTGGTTTAGTAGGAAGGATGAAGTCGACCGATGATCACGCCTGAGTGTTCCTCATAATCTTTTATGGTTTAAACGATGTAGGTTTCTTTGCAATATTCTATTTTGTGAGGACAATAACGGACTATGATGCAGATCGAAACATTCTATGTAGTATAAAAGTTGCATAAATAAGTAGCATATAAAAATGTAAGATTCGCACAGATTCATTGAAATTTTGCAACAATAGTGTTGACATCCTGTTCCATATTATATGCACAATATGAGTGGGAATAGTGAACCACTTACTATTATTATTATGAAATCATGTATCAGTGACTAACAATAATCTAAAAAAGAACTTTTAACCCTAGTAACAAATAAGTACAGCTGTGAACTTCTTGTTATATCAATGTAAATTTCTTCAAATAATACAAAACATTTAAATATTTGCCTTTCTTTGCATTTATATTTAAACACAACAGCTGTTTACAATAATAATCCTTTTTTTTAAAGTAACTATATGTAAGATAAAGCTGGTATTATCTGTCAAACTGTAAATGTACTAATAATACTAATATCATACCAGTACTAATATATAATATTATCAACAGACCTTAACATTAATCAGTATTACTTATATGAATAGAATTGGAAATAGTGAATCTTAAACAAACTATTCATGACAAAATAGTTATGTACATTATCGTTAATAAAAGTAAATTATGTAATAAGCTCATATCTCTAATAGATAAACATCTATATAGTTCTTTTTTCTTTAAGACTATTATTTGTAATTTATTTTTCCTAGGTAGTTATAGTTCTATGCTAGGGTTATTTGTCCTTTTAATATTGTTACTTTTCTGAATAAGATCATCTCAGCAATAAATTAAATAGGGCAGAATGTAAATGTAAAATTATTACAATGATGATGAATAAAAATCGTGAAAATGACTATACTTGATATGTTTATCTGTAAGCACATGGTAACATGGACATACACAAACATACAGTTCTCAATGGGGGAAAATATATGCTAATAAAGAATTTGTTGAATTGATTATTTTATATATCTTGTACCATGACGTAATATTTGTCACCATCTTGGTATAAATTAACTCTATTCTGAAATATGACGGGAATAAGTTAAAGAAGTACTAGACAGTTATTTTTTTTTATGTTCTAAAACTTTCGAGAAATACAGACATTAAGATTTTGCAACTCACAAGATAGTGGTTAAAATAGCAAACTGGAATTTATTGTGGAAAACACTATCCTACTTCTAGTTTCTTATTATGAATCTCATTGGATTACCAAATAATTGTTCATAAACCATTTAAAAATCAATATAGAAAACTACTTTTGCCATAGTAGCTTTAAATTGCTCAATTCAAAAAGAAAAACAATCTTTATCATAAGTCTATGTCAGGTGAAAAAGACTTAATACAATTAGAAACCGTTCATGCTAGTTAGTATTTTATAGGGAATATGTCAAAGACAAATATCACATGAAAAAATATATCTTGAATCTTAAAGCAAACGACAGAAGTTTGTTCTACTTTTGGAATAAAATATGAACAGTAAAATGACTCAATTGTTTAGAAATTCTTGACTTTCTATGTTTCCTCAATTCGCTTTTGTTTTAAAGACCAAACAGAATGTACTACTGCAAAGTCCCACAATAGGACGAAACGGTCGTTCAGTGCCTCTAGGTTTTCCATGGTGGCCTAGCATCAATTGACTCATGAACTTAATCATTAAAATGACTATAACATCCACAAAAACCCCTTTTAAGAATTTTTTCATCGGGTCAGTATGATGCAGTTAACATGTTTTAAAGTAACAAGAGTAAATTTTATTTATCTTGAAAGTGAAAATGTCTTTTCTTTAAAATAAACCTACTTTCATAAGGCATTCAACTTCTTATAGTGTTTATGAATATACATAGAAATAATACACATGGTAACTCTGTTAATTTATGTGAATATACTTTCAAAACAATGTTAAATCTCATTTAGACATTTGCATAATCTATAAAATATTGAGTAGCCAAGAGATTGGAATTATGTCATTTTTCAAGAATTCATGTATTTATTGACTAAACGAAAATACAATAAACTTTGACCAATCATTTATCTTATTTTGTCAATCTCTCCATTACATACATAACTAACTTATGTATCCTGGTTATTAATATTCAGTCTAGAAATATAGTTCAATAATATTCTATAGACAAAATTGATATCTCTTAAATAATTCAAACTAATACAGTAAACAAAAGAAACCTGATGAGTCATTTGAAAAAAAAGGACAGTTTAGCGAAGAAAATATTTTTTCGGACGAAATCATTAACAATCATAAATATAGTGAACTAAAATACTTAAATCCATAATGAAATTTAAAAGAAATGGTGCATCATGTAAAATGTGATTGAAAGTGTTTCCAAGTATCAAAAAAATATTCAGTAATGAACCAAAGTAAGAAGCGCTGGAAGTGGATAGGACATATATTGAGGGAGGCACCTAACTGCGTTGCAAGGCAAGCCCTCACATGGAATCCTCAAGGTCAAAGGAAGATCAAAGAACACATTACGTCGAAAAATGGAGGCAGACGTAAGAAGAATGATCAACAATTAGATAGAACTAGTAAGAAAGGGCCAAGACAGAGTGGGTTGGAGAATGCTGGTCGGCGGCCTATGCTCCATTCGGAGTAACAGGCATAAGTAAGTACGTAATGGACCAAAGTGAAAATAAATTAAAAAGAAAAAAATGTGTGATAACTGTTAATCAATTGTTTGAAATAACTAGATATAGAAAAGAAGTTATGCAATGACCTACTGCCGCATAAAACATTATCGAGATAATGACACTTTATAGAACACATGTAACTATTCGCTTCGTGGATATAAAGAACGGAATAATTAAATTTTGTAACAACCAAATGACAATTATGGAAAAATAATGAGGGAATGATTAAACCTCAGATTTATGTGATAATATACGTACAATGGTTTTTATCACCCTGCTCTTTTATGCATTACATACATAGAAATAGTACACATGGTAACCCTGTTAATTATGTGAATATACTTTCAAAATAACGTTAAGTCTCATTTAGACAACGGTATAATCCATAAAATTTTGGTAGTCAAGCGATTCAAATTATGCCATTTTTATACAAACATATGATTGTACAGCTTGATAATAAATTCATTAAAAAGAGACCCCAAAGCTGAAATTCTTGGCTTAAATGTTTAAATGAGAACTATGTATCAATAAATTATCAAATGTTTTGAGTAATTTTTAATGTTATTAGTTGAATTCATGAGTCGATCTAAGTTAGACCACCGGAAGTGCTGGACGGCCGTTTTGTCCTAGTACGGGAGTTCTCAACAGTGCACATCCACGAACCCAGGACCTATCAGTCTTACGCGTGAACGCCTAATCTTTAGACCACTGAGCCGGTATCCAACGGTGTTAATGTCTAACTACAATCAACCCATGATCTTGCTCAACCCTTCATTCATTGTGTGTGGTAAATAATTGTCTCCACCCGACACGGATTAGACTTTACTGGTCACCGCTTCCCACTAGAACTCTAGGAAATTCATCTTGAAGCTAGTCACTAGTAAGCACATGACTGTTATCAAGATGAGGTGTTGTAGAGTTTGTATCAATTTTAATAGTTCTATGAACTCATTTGCAACAGTTCCTACAGTTAAACTGTTTTCTGATGAATAGTTTAAATATACATATTTGCTGATAGACAAAATGTGAATTGAGCAACAGTTGCTTTGTTACTATTGTATTTAATTCATTGTCTCATTAATATGTTTAATATGATCAGCTTTGTACTATAGATTTTAGTTACTGCAAGAAAAAAAGATACTTTGGATATAAAGACTGATGTAATTGAAATACACCACATTTAACAATCAGATCATTCACTTAATGGTCATTTTAGGCAAAAACGAAGAATTACCAAATAGCGATAAGAGAATTTATATCAAAAAGCATAAATTTCATTCTGATAACACCTTTAGACAGTGAAAATGAGCCTAAAAAGTACCAGGGTAGGTTCAAAGTCAGAACATTTTAAGAGAGCATAACTATTTGTGCTTAAACTTGAAAAAACCCTGATAATAGTCTTTCTATGAAAAGAACAGTGTGCTTATTTTAAGACTAATCCTACAACATGTTCATATTATATGTTTGGATGAAATGCCAACTCCTTTTGTAATACATCAAACAAATAAATACAGTGATGAGAATAACTAGACCTACCTCATTTCACTTTTAATACCATCCAATGGTTTTGAATTAGGGATGTTAGAATATTTATTTCTCCGATTGTTCGTTTCCTTATTATCTTCCAAATCCCATATTTGTAATGGATCATCAGATAATGCCATGCCTTTTGACAACATCATCTGAGATTCGTGTTCATCCAACGCTATATCCCCATAGTATGCAGCTATAAGTGGAAAAAATGTACACAAGAGACTAAACTAAGCAGTAATTGAATACGAAAGTAAAGAGTAGTTCAAAATAAATACAGCACATGTTCAGTGTGCTACACATAAATTGGAAGGCTATCAAACTTACCAAAGAACATAGCTCTGTAAACGGTGACTTTGACTGATATCAAACGAATTAATATAATCATTTAGTACACTATAAACCTCTATAATTAGGTTGACTATATGTCAGCGATTGCACTATTAAGTACTTCTGTAGTAAGATTCTTATTAACATGAATATTTCTGGAAAAAAATTGATATAGTGCAATAAACATTTTCTCTGTTATTATTTTCAACGAAATATGCTATCAAACAGCAAATTTGATTCATATTGTACTCTTCAACAGAATAGATTAATCCTAAAAGTTTGTTGTTTCATTAGATTAATCTTAATGACCGAGTTTGAAAAAAATATGATAATACTGATACGGATGGATATTCAACAGCGGTTAAACGATTACTTCTGAGATTATTTTCAGAAATATCATTATAGAGTAAATGACAGGACTATATTGAGTATCCTTTGTGAATCAATCTCATTTAGAATACCGTCGAAATCCAGAGGGCAGTGGACAGATGTTTTACCCCTCATAATGCCGTACTCAGGACCCTACGAGGATAAAACCCAGTGTTTTGGAGGAGCAAATATCATGGAAAGTGCAACTCTTGGAACGTCATCTGTACAAGCTAATGTGAATGCCTGGGTGTGTGGGTGGATGAAATATAATAGTAAGAGTTTGGCTGCAGTCTTTTATTTTGAACTCAAGGCTGTGAAAAGAGATAATGGGTAATGACGGACCAATAGGACAGAATAACAGACAAGAAGTTGTAAAGTTATAATGGAAATCCTGATTGGCGAACCTAGCATGTGGTGTAAATCAAATCGCTCAGGCTTAACAGTCATCGACATAGTGTTCAGAATACTTGGGTATTGAGGTGAATGTTTAAACATTAAAACCGAATTGGCGTGAAATTGAACAATTCTAAGTTCAATCGATTTCCGATATAGCTCGACGACCATTCAATACAACTGTTGACAATTACTTCATTATCGATAAGTGTGAACTGATCAAATTATTGCCATTTTCTGTTTTGGCATATCAATGTTCTTTTAAAGGCAGTGTTTGGAGATACACCTTCCAGCAATCTCTTTCCACTTTAGATGTATATAACTTTGAGATTTTGTAACCTTAAAAGATATTTGAATGGTTTGTTAAGAAAATGATTACTTTTTACTACATGGATAATTTTAAAACATGTAATAATATCTGACGTGTCTGTGTATTTGTAACTGAACATAGGATAGAATGATAATGATTATAAGGAAGAAGAATTGCATTATTATCTATCTATAATATGAATTATAGTGTTTGATTTAAAAAAGTCTGCCAAATACTTACAAGATGTTTCTTGATCCAAGTCATTTAAAATACTTGCTAACAATGTAAAGTAATGAATAATCTGTAACTTCTACCCGCAGAGAAATTTAATTTATACCTATGTTTGTATTAAAACAACTTCATATCCTTTAAATAAGTGTTTTTCATGAAGAAGGAAAACTATTTACCACGTTACAGTTCTTCTTAAATATAATTATAATTACACTTCAAGGCTTTGATACTTTATCTTGATATAAATGAACAGTAAATACTAGGCGCGTATTTAAAAATAATCGAACAAGTGGTGTATCACCGATAGGATTTTCGAATAGTGAGTAAGAAATTAATTCGCTATGTGACTGCTTATATTACTAAAGAAACTATGTGTATAGTCTAGCTTGACCTATCGGTTACTAAATTCCCGTAAAGTCATACTAGACAAAGTAACCAATGTCTAAAAAATACCTGCACACATTAGGTCTTTCAACTGTCTAGTTTTAATTTTTCTTATCGGTTATTAAATTAATGAACGGTTATTTACCAAGTATACAGAATACTCTGTTGTTCATGCTTTATAAACTTAAATCTAAAATAAGTCTATTACAAATACTAAACTAGAACCCTCATATACTTATTAATAACTATTTGATGTAATTTAAATTTCCTCCAGTGGAATTTCAGTCGACAAAATATCTATTCTGTATAGGAATCATTGCTAATCTATTAATGCAGTTACGATTGTTGCTGCTATTCTAGTACTTGTGTGATACACGATTAATGTCACCTTACTAAATGTAAAAACTTGCTCTTAAGAGTAATTACAATGAAACAAATTTACATTTAATCTTCCGTTGAAGATAACAATCATGGGCATAATGATAAATGAATAATATTTCCAAGTGATTCGCTTTACTTCTTAGATGATGTACAAAATATATCTCATAATTTCCCACCCCCTCCCTATGTTATCAATCATAAAAATTATTATGATCGTTGTGCTATCAGCAAATTGGCCATCCTTAGTAAGATTAATTACTTTCATAGATGCTTATGGATGATACGTTTTAAAAGCCATTCATAGTTAAAACCATTAGCTACAACCCATTTAGCTATGTCCTACAATACTAATATTTTCAATAAATTACTGTAGCTCTAAATAACAGAAAGGCTCATCCATCAGTCTGCCGAATTATCATAGCTACATTTTACACCAAAACTTACTGAGAACATAGAATATCCAGGCAATAAAATTACTAATTTACTAAGTGAAAGTGTTACAACTTTCCAAATAACTTGCAAGTAAGAAAAGTATAAGTAATAGATAAAATTCTATTCTTGGCAAACATAAGGAACCTCTGATAAAACTCCTTTTAAGTAAATTCACTGTTATTTGTATACCCGTTTATATACAATATTAACGCTGTCTATATCAAACACTAATAGATGATGTACCCTTTGGTAATGATTTTGAAACACATATTTCCATTGTATCTAAGACTAGTTTATTCATAGCGTAAGTTCCTTATAATTCATTGTTTCAATGCTGAACATATCTAAAATTAGGGAAACGCTGTTAATAAATAACATTTCATCAAACACTTTGAGATTTAGTTGGGTTTACGATATTAAGCATTTAGTTGGTTAAAGCATTTTTTTGTTATGATTAATAACTTTATACATTTACATCTACATCAACCACCTCCTTGTATAGTTGCACCAGAGATATTATCTAAACTGACAAAAAACTTTTCTTTACTACGAAAGCTTGAATTAAAGAAGGTTAAGTATCCAAAAATGTCCATATATATTTCCGATTGGTTCATGTAATAGAATAATTGAAGCATGAATTCATTCATTTTCATATGTAGTTGATAACCAAGAATATAACTATGATATGATCAACTTATTCTTTCCTGTCAATACAGTAGTGAATTTTCTTCCCAACAATTAGTCACTCTTTGGATAAAGACTAAATCGAAAGTGCAAATGATTAAAATTTCTAATAACAAATTTCTCAATACAGAAACTTAAAAATGTAAATGAATCCTTCTGTTCTTCCTTCATCTAACCGATCAATAATAATTTATGAATCGTGCAGTCAAAAATCTTCTAGTGAGTATTACATAAGTCATCGTTTTAAGATTATGTAACCATTTAAGAGTGTGTGTGTGTGTGTGTTCCTTTCAGTGGCTTCAATCAAACGTGTTAATAGTGATGTAATGAAATTCTGAAAATTTCAAAATTGTAAAGCAAAAGCATTCTTTACTATCTCCCTTAAATGGTCAATATGATGTGACAAAATAATTTCTTTTATACGTTATGTTATGACATAGATCATCATATTTCGTCAACATTTCATCGATTATTCTATTGGTTATAATTTTTATCGAATTTCAGAAAGTACTAAATTTTTTGATGTTTTCGTTAAGATGGCTTCGAAAAGCACGGCGAAGCCTTCAAAGGCTCTAAAGGAGTCTAAGAGACTTCGTCTAATCAGTACCTGATAGAACCCTCTAGAAAGTTAATGTGGCATGTTATGATTGAACATTTGCATAACTTTCCTCCTTGCGGATTGGTTGGATTATAATAATGTTATAGCCAAGACTAAAAATCACAAATACTCCTGTTTTTATATGCATCTCTGATTCTTACCCAATAATCGTTTCCCCTGCCTCTTCCGTGTTTTTATATGCGACTGTGGAGTTCTATATGTTCGAGTGCGGTTAGTTGTATACTCTACTGTGTCATAATCAAGTACAGAACGTAACAGTTTAGCAAGCAAGAAAATTGATGGTAACTTCATTTCCCTCTTTTCTGAAGTTGTAATTTTAATGTTATCCAACTAATTAAATATTTTTAATGCCAGTACCTTTTAAAATTCAACCAATTTCTAATTTAATACTAAAAGAAAACACAAATGACTCCTTAAAAGTCACTTGTATTTATGGAATATTTTAATATGGCATTGTAATATTATCGAATAAAAACTAAAAATGGAATGACCTTCTGAAAGACTAGAATGCAAGATCTAACTGGTATCGTCTAATTGTTAGAGCTCGTAAACTTATACCAATCAATCTATAACCAAACCACTAATCTAAATTTTAATTAGGCTAGTTAATAAAAAATACTGGATTTTCTGACAACAGCTTTATCCACCTGTTAATTCATTAAGAGATATTGGTGACAAATATGTAACATTTTATTAACTCATTTGACTTTTAATTATTGAATTCATGAGTTAATTGAAGCTAGACCACCATGGAAAACCTGGAAGCCCTGGATGGCCGTTTCTTCCTATTGTAGGTTTCTTCAGCAGTGCGTATCCACGACCCCGCCCCTCTGGATTCGAACCCAAGACCTATCGGTCTTGCGCGTGAACGCTTAACCTCTAGACTACTGAGCCGGTATCCAACGCTGTTAATGTTGTTGTTGTTGATGATGATAATAAAATGTTTTGTCGATGTCTGGTTATTTTAACCTATTTCGTGTCTGATGTAACAATCAACATATAGATAAATAATTCTTATTGAATGACAAAAGGTTAACAAATTGAAATTGTTTTTCTGTCTGTA